GTGTAGACTGAAACCTAGATACGGGAATGGGTATACATTCACCGGGTTGTGCTGTTTGACCCGGTCCTTCCCGTTGAGAAGGATCTCACGGCTACTGCTACTCGTCTGCGGATGAATTTGTATCCTGATTGCCGAATTGTGCTCGGTGGCTTAAGACGTGCAGTGCGTATGGAGGATAGCGTTAGCCTAGTCTCATCTATGTGTGGGTTGTTTTAGACCCTTAATGCATTGATAAAATATCTGGGCTTTTGTACTGGATGACAACAGTTGGAAGAATCAACTACGAGATTGTACGGTTAGCCCTGATGTGCTGTAACGGGTGTTCGCTCGACTAAAGAAGGTTCGCGCACAGCTTATCAGGATGCTATTTATCGCGGTCGATTTCCTGTATGGTCTCTATTCTGCCGTTTAGTTCCTTCATCATGAGGATAGGTGTGCGCACAAGGTCTGCTATCATTATTGACAAATTGAGGTGGATGCTGACTAGCACACGAGGGGAAAGTGTTCCCATACGGGACAAAAAGGCAGGGAATATTTGAACTCACCCGTAATTCCGCGTGTGGTTTCAGCTTTTGGGATTCTCCAAATACATGCAGAGTGACGTAGTCCTCCGCTCCCGGACGAGTTGGTCCGAAATGCAGCTGCCACCGACTAATATCAACAGTCTGATGGATGAAAAATGAGAAGAGAATATTGAATGGTGTAACCAGTCAACTGATGTGGACTGTATGTGGACAAAGAACTGAGGAATAGTGAAAATTTAGTTTGCATTGGAAACAGTCAACGGATACTATTTACGACTGGGCTTTGGAAAACAATCAGTTCTATAATATCCGGTACACATGAACATGTAAAGTAGACCTCCTCTCCTGAAGTACCACCATGATCTGGGGGGTCCTCATGTAGGAAGCTCAACGTGGTCTATATGACAGTCTCCTGAACAGTGTTTTCATACACTCGTACCAGGTCTGAGTTGGGCCGCTCATGGTCTTTTTCCTTCTGCTGCCTGCCTCGGAAAACATCGCTCGACGTGGCAACTTATCTGGTGATATGCGCAACACACATGTCCGAAGCAGCGCGTCCTATGGAGATCGACTACTTGCTCCAGTGGACGACCTCATCTAATCTCAGCATTGCTTGTCCGATTTTCTCACCAGACTCGTGTAATGCTACGTAGATAGCGGTGTTCGAACAGCGACAATCTATTTTTATCCTGTTCCCGTAATGGCCAAGACTCTTCACCGCACAGCAAAACCGGTCGGACTGCTGCAGCATATACTCAGCCCTTCACAGATAACCGGATATCGCGACGGCGCCACAGGTGCCTCCAGTTGGCAAATACCAACCGAGCCTTCTGTATGCGTGTTGGCACTTCATCTGCGATGCGGCCCCCAGGTGAGAGGTAGCTGCCCAAATAGCAATATTTTTCGAATTTCTCTAATGCCTCGCGAGTGAGCGTGAGGATGAGGATTGGGCCAACCCAATCTTGTAGCAGAATTTTACACTTTGAAGGTGAAAATCGCAAACCGAATTTGGCTACACTATCACTAAAACTATCCAGAAGAGCTTGTAAATTAAATAGATTTTCAATTAATAGCACAATGTTGTCTGTATACTTCAGATCAAACAATCTGTCATCTGAGAACAAATCGATACCGTTCTCCTCGTACGAGGATGGGGATGTTTCAAGAAATCAATCTATGACAAATTTAAATAAAAACGGAGAGAGGGCAACCCTGACGAACATCGATATTTGTAGTGAACTCGGGAGTAAAGGTGCCGTATGCTCCGACTCGGCTACGAGTCTAAGAATAAAGGGGTTGTAATATTGAAATAAACTTCTCGGGCACACCCTTCAAGGAAAAGCAGCGCCAGAATTTAGAGCGGTCTACTGAGTCGAAGGCCGCTTTCAGATCGAGGAAGATAGAAATAGTGGGTCTACGAAAAAAGTGCCCGTGTTCTAGAATTTGACGAAGAGTGAATATGTGGTCGATACAACCTGGACTAGGTCTCAAACTAGCTTGGTTTTCACATGTGCACTCTTCACATGCGAACGACAATCGACGGACTATGATCCCAGCGAGAAGTTTAGAAGCATTGTTGATTAAACTAATCCCTCTGTGGTTTCACAAGAGGACCACTTGTCGCCTTCTTTTTCAACGTTCAACGATTCACACCACTGTGTTGTAATCTCTTCCCTCTACCACACTGAGTTTTAACTCCGAAACTAACGTTGAACTACTATGTCGATGGGGACAATCCGTCGGGGACAAAAGAATTGTACCTTTTGAGATAGCTTATTTCTCGGGTAACGTACATTTCACATGGAGGACGGATATCGACTGGCAGTATTTGCACAGCCAACGGTGGCCGATGGCGATGTGGTCGATTTGAGTTCGTCGCTGTGGAGAGGTTGGCGGTCTCCATGTAAGGCAGTGTCGTTTCTTGTGTGCTGGAGCTTTTCTGGAGCAGTCCTTAGCCAGCGCAGGGTTGGATAAGGCGTTCTCCGTTGTCTATCCGGTTGACTGGAATTGCGTGAGTACCACCAAGCTGGAGTGTGACCCGAACATTCATGTGGGAGTTTCTAGAGATCTGTCACGCAGTCCTTGGGTTNTGTTGTTCGCTGGTGCATTGATGGTCGGTCCGCTTTTCGGGATCAGCCCTTAGCCTCATGCAACCAATGAGACAAGCGGAAGGTGGATGGGGCAGCACCTTATTGGCTGAGGACTGTCCAGCTTGGTTGGATGGTAGCTGTCCAATGAAGTGTACAGGCTTTTCCCACAGTCGAGAGGAAGCCCCAGGTACCCCGCTCCTACATCCATCTAGCGGGGGGTTTTGACCGGTAAACTGCCCCTCCTCGTGCTTTTTTTGCTGGAGTGACCTCTCCAGAGATGAAAGTGAATGGAAGAAGGAAGCCAGGGAGTGCCCAAGCAGCCGGCCTTGTGAGAATGCGCTTCGACTGGCTTCTACTCGTTGACCTTTCAGATATGATTGGATCTGAGGCTGCGAGGAGTCATCCGGTATAGCTGGCAGGGTCATGGAGTAAGCCATCACACCACGTCAACGTGCAGTCTCGTTGTGATGCCAGTCCTCTAATAATCCAACCGAAAACCTTGGCGAAAATCCATGGGTTTGCAGTCGACTTTTCTTAACGACCACAGGCATATTGTTGACGACGGTGGATTAAACCACCACCACCACCACTGTTGTAGTGATTCGTAGACTCAGATGAGTGTGAAATAATGATGGATCAACTTCGCATCACCAAATTTCAAAGGCAATTAAACGATAGCGATGGCTTTATCAGATGATGCGCCGAATTTGCGAACGTCATAGAATTTTGTTTTTAATTACATGATAATCATGATGTTGGGTCAAAAGGGGCGCATCCTGCATTATAAAGACATTCGTGACCTTTATTTGAGAGAGAGATCGAACATCAGACCAAAATCCTCCAAGTCCTTTGAGAGCACCGTTAATGATCCGCAGAGTCACATGTAGCATAGTACACCGGTGGCTGTAAACTTGTAATGTCCTAAAAACGTCTTCTTTCGGCTATGCGTTAGCAAAAATCTTCAGGCTGTGAAATATGCAACGGACGAAGATTAAGCCTTGGTAACACAAAACAAAACGGGAACAAGCATACGAAGCATAAGGCTAAAGATATACGCGTACAAGTTTTAAGTGACTTCCCCTATGGAAGTGCCTCTAAAACAATCGAATGGGCTAATCCAAGCTAAGACTTCCCCTATTGTTTCTTGCATTCACAATAGGTAAAAAATGGAGCGAGAAAAAAAAATAAATGATCCACAACTGTCAGCGTGCACGTCTATCTTACTTCGTCACTAGCGTTGGAAAGCCGCAATAGGCCATCACCGGGATCGGCACTGGCGAAGTGCACAGATCCGACAGCGGAACACGTGATGCGCAGTGCTTTGCGAGAACCGTGTTTATACACTTCGTCGAACGAGGTCGAATGTTTGTTACGCGATTCCCGACTTTCGTGCGTTTTCGGAACTTTCATGGGAATTACGTAGTCCGAGTCGGCTACGTGATTTGCTAACTTGGAGTCCAAATCCACATCACGGTCCAGGGACGCAAACGGACGTTTCCCCCATTCCTTTCTTTGAGTCTGAGTAACAATTGGTTTTCCTGTCACTTCTGGCTCTGACGGGAGACGACAACTGGGGGGGGGGATAGAAAGAGAACCGATCGTTAATTAACCAAAAGAAATAAACCACAAAAGTTGTAATTCATGGTCACAAAGAAAAGCAAAAAAACAAACAGTGAGACAAACTTGACTAACAGAGGATCACAACAGACAAACAGTGGTATTGCACCCATGCATTGATTTCTTTGTCATCAAGACTCATCTGGCACACAGATTGAAACCAAACAAGTTACATATAAGTTGGCAGTTGACAATAAATTCAACCGGAAGCCCCAACACAATTGAGAAGGTACTCCGTAAGAGTCTGCAAAGAGGACAGTCAGCATGCGCCCCCAGCAAGGAAACAACAAAGCTGGTTGAAACCTCTTGGAGAGGCTAACGAGCGCGACAAAATACAAAACTTGCCACACTACACCGAACTAGACTGCAGGGGAACACATGATACTTTGAGGGCGGGGCAAATGAGTCATTGGTCTGAGAAATTTCCCGTCGTTAACGTCCTTGGGCCGATAATCAGGTCATCATCAGAAAGCTGCTAATCCCATCGGCACAGAGTGTCGTAAGTCCATCAACGGACGCGGGAGGCACAACACAACCCGGAACAATAGTCTCTGTATCAAATAACCTCACCTATCCTCAGTGTGAATCATCTCTCGAAATGCGTCATGTGTGTCGCCGTTCGAGTTCGTACTCTAGCAGCTTTCGAAAATCGAAAACATTCTGCTGGGACGTATTCTGAGAACTCCATTCTCCGAAAGAGGATCAGTAATCGGCGTTTAACCCATGCACATACACGGCAGTACATGAAATCCCATCAAATGCAACCATTGGTTCACCCAATTGCGCCAAGGCGTCGAACGTAACAGTAAGGAACGCCGGTTTGCTTAAGCGAGTCTTTGACCGGTTTGAGTCAGCGCTTTCCCCCGTTTACTACCAGAACACATTCATCCACTCACAGAGTACGCCATCCAGGCATGGAACCCATGGCTACAACGTGATTGCAAAATGCTGGAGCGTCCACGAACGATGGCCACCAAAATGGTAGGGGGTTGAATCGTTATTCATAAGCAGGGAGACTGGAGAAATGATTATGGTATACCAAATAATGTAAAACCTAAGCCATCCGTGTCCCCCGCTGCTAAAATATCACCCAACGTTCGTCTTAGGGGATATCCGTTCAAACTAGTGGTCTCAAAATACCGACTGGAATGCCGACGTCAGTCATTCGCGGATAGTGTGTTCGATCTGGAACTCTCTCTCTCACCCCACGTCGTCTGTGCACTGAGCACTGAATCTTTCAAACTGAGACTCGATAAAACATTAGCACACCTTACATTCCAACATAAGTGAAGCTGCCTGCAGCAGTGGAAGAAACCCGTATAATGTGACATTTTACACAAGGCATTGTATGTATCAGTGTCTTTTAACCACAACACGAACCCCTGGGACGGGAAAAGCATGAGTTTGTAATTTATTCCCATAATAAATCTTTTATCTCTAAACCCCAAATTTTTGTAGGGATTTACTCTAACGGTGGAATGATCATCATTACAATGAACAAGTAACGTTTGCAGCTATTTCACCCCATAGAAACTAGGGCTCCATTATTAGTCGGACAGTCATCACACGAATATCTTTTATATGACTTGAGTGGTGCGTGGTATAGCGAAGTGTTAATATAAAATTGATTCACAGATCAGGGTATCAATGTTATAGAAAACACACAGACCAAATACGAACTTACCGCGATTCTTCAGACTCAAGAAGTGCTCGATACATGGCAATTTCTGCATCCAGTTGAACTTTGATGCTTGCCAATTCGGCACATTCACGTGACTTCTCATCGACTAAATCCAACAAACGAGCCATTTCTTCCCGGTTCTGTTCGATTTCTCTCTTATACCGGTCTTCCATATCTTCTAGTTGTACGTTTAGCTGATCAATCGTGCGTTGTAAAGTTTCTATTTCTTTGCGGCATGTAAGTAGTTCACTGGAACGCGACGACAACAGTGAAGTCACACGATTACACTCTTCTCTAGCCGCTCGAGCACGCGCCTCAGCATCTTTTGTTTTTCCCTGTTCCGTTTGCAATTTCGCCTGATCGATGAGGAGNGAGAGAGAGAGAGAGAGAGAGAGAGAGAGAGAGAGAGAGAGAGAGAGCAGATAACATTTTGTGTATCAGTCACCTAAGTGGATCAGTGAAGTGCAGGAAGTGACATAAAAAAAGATAATAACTCTGAGGAAATCGGTGTAAGTCAACATAAAACAATTTGCCGGGGAGGAGGAGGAGGGGATGATCTCCACGCTTTTCTTTATAGGTTGTAGGTTATTACAAAAGTTAGGAAAGGTAAAAAACTGAACAACTATTCATCGACCCTGCTTCAGCTGTGCACAGACAATTGTTTCAAAACTAAGCAATATTTCTAGATCTACCCAGACCAAGATTAGAGACTCGAAAGCAGGAGATAATGAAAAGCACCGAATCAATCAGGTCATATTTCGACCACATGACTAAATTAGTTGGGCTGTTGCATTTTTTGCCACCATGCTAGATTCTGCTGTGATGTCAACGGGGGTCCGTCCAAATGCCAACCAGTAAGACACAAAGCCATTAAGAATGCGAAGAACTGGAAGGCACACTAACTGGACCGCGAAATAATTGCTCAAACTCAGAGTAAATTGTTCAATGCGGCTAAAAAGCATAAAAGACAAGGGAGCGATCTGTCATCCTGGTGGTGGATGGGAAGTGAAAACTATCAAGTAAGGCAGCCACAGTTTCGGACTTTTCATAGAACTCGGGTTTGCTACTTCAGGTTTTATAGTTAGATTGCTGGTCATTCTCATCGATCAAAGAGTGTAATATTTGGTGGAAGACAGGTTTAGTGTCGTTCAGTACAACACCAACCTCATTCTATGAAAGCTTAATGAGATTCACAACTCCAGGACCCATGTTTCACATTACTAATTTCCAAGACTGTGGGGTCCACTCCCTGGACTGATACTTGCAACAAAACGTACAATTTTCCGTATTATTTTGAAACAGGACCTTACAGGTATTGATCAAACTCGTGCAACACTCTGACTGTCATCACATTTGTTCCTACCAACGCTTGTTGTTTCCAGTCTTATTCACGAGGTTGAATGTGAGATTGGCCCACACCAGACGTAACATAGCTGTGCTAATATCTACTTACGTTTTTTGCTTCTATTAGTCGAATGTTATTAAAATGCACAATTTCTAGATTTCGGAGACGGTTGCTGGTGCACCAGTTGTAAAATAACAAAGCCTCAGTAAAAATAGGTCAATAGAATTGATTTCTTAAAACGACTTACAGGTGTTGTACTTTCATTTTGTCAATGTGCTATTTGCCCTTCTTTAGTTTGGAACGCTGGAGTCCGCCTGTTTTGAAGGCAGTCTATCAAGTTGACTGTCAAGTAGCATTTACCAGTTTCTTCTAATAGATGCCGCGCTTTGGCCACTGACGATCGCTATCGAGGTGACTAACTTATCCGTAGCACGGGGAAATTTTTTCGATTGGAGTCAAATCTCAAATACTGTGGTGTAACTGAATGAACTCGACACCCTACTTGACATTGCAGTGGGAGAAAAAGTTCCGGGATAAATACTCTCCACCCACAGCCATCGATATACACGTATGACGTTCCAAAACTGAAACCCAATTAGGGATCATGTTGCACGAGCGCCAACAAAACCTGCATTAGTTGTCACCGACGACCCAATGCCTCAGGCGCATAGTAGTCGCAAATGGATAGGATGAGCATAGCATAGAACCGAACAATACGACAGATGGTGAGCGCAAAACGCGACCTTCAATGAATTTCGATTTTCATGCACGACATTTGTAAAGGTACCGCGGGCGCCTCCATAAAGTTCGTTCGAAACGATCGAAACTCCGAGTTCAGTCACAACTGTGTGGCGTGATGAACCAAAGTATTGGAAAAGAAGTCTTGATGGAAACTCACGTGTGCACGGAGAACGAAACGACCAAGAAGACAAGTTGATGGCACATGCGCAACAGTTATGAAGAACGGTGCAAATGCCATCTATGCATGGGGAGGTATACGATTCCTGACTTGTTATCCGACGGTTTTTATAATAAGATTATGGAAATGGAAGCACTGATAGCCAAATGTCGTGGTATGACGATTGGCCAGAATCCCTGAAAAATTTACTCCTGCACTTTTCGCATCATGTGAAAATCCGAGTAACAACGACGTGAACCGCGAGAAACATGACACCACGGGTTTTAAACGAATATTAGCCAAAAGCGCTGGGTTGAGATGTAGATCTTTCATCCCCATTAGTGACACAATTGATTAAACCGTTAGAAAGGGAACTTACTTGCAGACTACTCTCCATTGTTGATTGCAATTCGTCCAACTGCTTGGCCATTTCCTGGCGTAGGTCATCCAGCTTCTCCTTCAGTTTGTTTCGATATTTCTCTGCCTCCTTCGCCACCGTTCTCATTTGGATTTGAATTGTCTCGTTGCTCCATGTGGCCCGTTCCTAGCAGAGATAAATAGGTTGCGAGAAAATTGATAACCCGTACGAAACACAAAATGTAACGACAGTCATTCAATACACCAGTATTGTTTTTCATCCTTCAGGCTGGGGAGCTGACCGAGAATGAAACACGAAAACTGAGGAACTATAATACACCGACCCCGGTAAAGGCAAGTTTGCAGAAGTCATACGAGAACACACTTAAGTGATATTGCAATCACTCGAGATGGATCGTGTGGCTCGGTGATAGGGATTGCGGCTTCACAGTTCGATTCCGGGTGGTGAGGGAGGAGGACACAACAATCCGTTGCACACGAAATATAACAGGACAGGAACTATTAGAGCAGCCATCAGGACGAATTACTTTCGGTAATAAAAAATCGTATTGGTCTAAGTTTGATGAATTTGAAACGAAGAGAACAATTGAAATGTAATGTCGTTCGGTATGCTGCCACAGGCCTTATTGTGCATGTTGATGCGACTCCTCTGGTTGTCACGGGTGTATGGCCTGCACATGTAGCTAGAAGTGTCAAGCTCAACGCATGTTCTGCTTCCAAATCACACGAGTACTCGTGTACACACCTATAGTATAACTATTGAGGCGCCTCGAAGCGGTAGCCCAGCGGTCACCAAATGATCCCTTCCTCCGTGCCGGAGAACATACGTGTCCGAATCCCGCCAACACTTGACTTCTCCCATTCTGTGCTCTACACAAACCACTGGATTGTTCGCTCCTCCCGAAAACCTTATCATATGCAAATATTGGGACTCTACTCATCCCAATACCGCCGACTTCGAGGGGACCTAATATTGGCATATCACATACTGCATCAACCCAACCACCCTTGCCGTTCTATGCTGACTTTATCTCATAATGATCACCTCAGGGGACATCCACTAAAGGTAAAGACCCATAACAGCCACCTTGATTGCCGGTATCACTCGTTTGCAGTCAGTGTGCGGCGCATGGAATTCTCTCCCATCTGATGTAGTGTGTGCTCCTACAGTTGAACTATTTAAATCGCAACTTGATAAACCATTGGAACACTTAAAATTTCAACATCCGTGAGTGATCACGCACATTATTATCATTGTTATTTTCTCTTTGTAAAGTTATTCAAAACATTCTGTAAAAATCCTATGGGGCATGATAAGCTTTAGCTTTGTTAAAACGCCCATAATAAAACTTTGATTTTGACTTTGATAACATTTTCAACAAAAGGAAGCAGAATAAAATATAGTCGACACGGAATTGAAGTAATCATGTGCGGGAGTGAGCGTTACAAATGAGTTCCCTAATTGGGTATTCTCAATTGATGAATCAGTTAGTTTAAAAACTCCCCAAAGTTACACAACATTTGAGAACCAGCACTGCAAGCACTGTCAATGATGATATGGCGCTAGACAACCGGTGAATCCGTAGTCACTTGTTTTCAGATCAATATAAACGTTTGAATGACACTATGGGTTCCCTGTGCCTAGTCTAACCCGATCAGGAGCAAGGCAACCCCAAATGGTAGGAATGAAAATCCAGAAAGAGAGCAATCAAGCACATGTTCACAACTAGTCAAAATGTTTGGTTCTGTTCGTCTCGTGATATTATTTGGTCACATGGGTATGTGGGATGAGTACACCTGATGTCGATAGTCCGTCCCGTCGGAGCAGATCACACATGTGAATTGGCATGATCAGAGGCCGTGTGCATGTGTTTGAGAGAGAGAGAGAAAAAACACGGAGAAAACAAAGGACCACGTGGTCAAAGAGAAACCCCGGCGCTAATTCAGACAGACTATGAATGAGTGGCACTGAAAAGCCGTGCCGTGTGCAGATGCAATCAAATCTTGATGCGAAATAAAGCTGGAATGAATGAGCGAGATAATACGAGAACGAGAGACTGAGATAGAGAACATGCATGAGCCCTTGACTATGACGTACTATGACTAACGATTCACATATTATGATTGCACAAGTTCACACGCATCAGTGGTCATCAATGGCCCGGTGCGTGTTTTCGAGCAGACAGCCAGTGTGTGAGTCATATCTGGTCAATACGCGCACAGATGTGAAGGGATGGCGAGTGGTGGAGGGGAGGTAAGCGGGCGATGAACAAGTTGCATAGTCCAACACGATTCACAACTCAGTCATGGACGGACCAAAAAAGCCACGCAAAAAAGGGTGACTGATAAAAACGGAATCAACTAGAACAGAAAATTGGTTTGCGTTCTAGTTGACCGTAGTTTGTTGCCTGGGTAGGAGCATAATCAACCGCAAACAAACGGGAAATCTCAGTCAGGATGATATCAACGGATTTTATCGAAATCGCAGAGCACATTGTGAATAGAACACAAAGTGCCAAATAAGCTTGTTTTCAGTGATCCGTATTTATGCAGATACACCAGAGTAGCCTCCCAAAAGCCTCAGTATGGTCGGGAGTGGGTGTCTAGGATTGCAGCTGGTCACCATGCCCTTGCACCTGGTGAAATGCTCCCATACGACCAAGCGTCTTCCATAGCCTCTACTGGGGAAGCTCTGCCCACTGCCTTCTCTTGGCGGTGTTTTCCTACCAAAGTGAGAGGACGAAAATCCGACATCTGGGGCTATAACCGGGTTGGCGGACCACTGGCAGTTCACCTAGGGAAGTTGTCCAAAAACCCTGATTCACAAACAACCATGAGGATGTGGCAATGGTCACCGGCTCGATTGGGCATCGAGGCGTATTGAGCACCTTGGACGTTTGACACCGTCCGAAGGGCGTATGATCCGATGAACTGGACACCGGCCCCCAAAGGATTGCGGTTTTCGTGGGTCAGGCTTTGGCTAGACAAAGGCTCCAGTTGTGGATTCCCCAGGAAACTTCACCTACCCTGGCCCGGGTAACCTGGCAGTATTCCGCCCACATGCAAATCATGGAACGTCTTTCTTTTTTATAAAGATTATTGTACTACGATTTTTTGGCATAGTCTGGATTCAGACGTGTGTGAAATACATACAAATACAAGTGTGGGAGGTGTAATCCGTTGTTTACATCCACAATCCGGAGTATAATTTCGGTCGTTAGTTGTGATAATGTGCTTTTCTGAATTGGATTTTCACAGAACGCATTAGGAGCAATAGGTAAAATGTTCGAAAGATAAGAATGAAAATGTGCAACCATTCAGACATTTTTCTGACTCGGAAGAGGCACAAAACACCAGGTAATAACCATCACAGAGACCACCACCACCTACCTTTTCCAACAGACGATCTTTAAATTCCAACTGTTCCGACAATGTTTGCGCACGATTTTGCCAATCTGTCCTCATGATGGTCTCACGTTCAAGTTGATCTTTGACCATAGCATGTTGCTTCAGTAAGTCATCGTAGTTTTGTTGTAGACCCTGCAAAAAACAACGGTTCATACGATGTTGGTTTTCTGGATAACGGTGAGAGTTATGGTTTGCTGAAAACAACAAACAAACTGAGGAGTGATGAGCCTCGTAGATGGGTACTTGCTACAAAGTAATGCACACCCGGATACAGTAGAAATTTAGTGCTTATTTAGGAGAACTGAATACCTCAATGTTATTGACGCAAGTGGAGAACTATTTACCGTGATGAAACAGAATCAAAAACGGTCACTTCCTATATCGGGGCATGTGGGAAGAACGCAGGTGCTTAAAGACGATCAGTTCTGTTTTCCTGGGGTTGCAGAACACAAACCCCAGCAGGACTCTAAAAACGAATACATAAGCGAGTACAACGGAGAGGCATATCTTGAAAGCTTCATAGGACTTGTATCAGAAAATCTCGCATCAGTTTTCAAGTGACATTCGCAACGTTCCGTTTGAGATGCCTTACTTCACAGATCAGAGATTTAATTCCAACTCTTACAGACGTTATCTCCATCAACGTACGCATTACCATCCGGTTCAAATATCTAAACGGGAGAAGCTTCTGTGTCCGTTTTCAAGCTAGAGCTTTATAATCTGCCCAGTGGATTTTCGAAGGGTCTCCACCATTCACAAAAAAGGTAAAAATGCATAGCAAATTCCGACTGATGGACAAACTAACGATATACAACTAAGAAGCATTATCCGCGGCAGTTCTATGGTGCAACTCGTCTGCCATGGTTCCTGGTCTTTCGTTCTCTGATTTTACGTAGGTGTTACCACACAGCAGCTTCAATGAATAGCTCTAAAAACGGATTAGATTTACCGACACCAGCTAACGTATAGTATCTTTTCTGAGAAACATACTATTGACAGCAATAGATGAATTTAGGACGAGTTAAGACGGAATTGATCCAGAGGGTTCATTGTACACTGTGAACAGATTAACGTAATCCGGAACCATGAAGAGATTTAAACCACTTTCAGATGATTAATCGACTGGACAAAAACAAATCATTGATCGGAAACTATGTGCAGTTGGTGATGATATTACGCTATGTAGTCCTGGTATTTCCGCCAAGAAAGTCAACTTTGGAGTTCGCTCCATAACAGGATGTGAGCTGAGTTAAGATGGGTCATCCTAGATACAGAAGCAAAATGACAACGATTGGTACCACATTCAAATCGATTCGGTTTACAGGATAGTACTGCATCTCAACGCTGACACAGAGGTTGGTGTTCAACGAATGACACGATTGTGTTCGTATGATTACAGATTTGCAACGAGGAAAACAACATAAAAGTTGATTCAAAGTTACAGAAGTTTAAAACTTCAGAATTTCAGAACTCTCTCAATATTATCTGACCACAAAACCAGTCCGTTATTAGTCGTGGATTGCTGAACACATGTCAATTCATTATTTCTTTTGAATAACTAACTCTACATTACGGAGATTCTAACGCGGTCATGAACAGAGTTTCACCGAGTCCGCGAAATCGCGGACCACTTACACGGCCACGTTCCAGTTCAGATTCTAAACGTGACAGCTCAGCAGTGAGCGACGCAATCTCATCGGACGAGCGCCGATCACGAGATTTCAATGCATTGAGCTCTTTCTCCAGCTGATCCCGGTCGGTTTGAGCAGTTTTAAGCTTCACTTGGCAGTTGGTTAGTTGCAAAGCGATAGCATCCAAATTCTTGCGAGCAGCATCCAGTTCGTCTGCATACAAACTGGAAAGATCATCCAATTGAGACTACCAAAAAGAAAATAAAGGGCGAAGATTAAATATCTCAAACAAAATGATTCATAGATAACTATAACTAGTCGGGAAAGTTAGGGCGGGAATCTTAGCTTCCGCAAAACTAATTGATAACTTTGTGACGGAACAACAAACTACAGGGATCGGAAAACAGATTATTTTACTAGTATCGCAGATCCGCAAGGTTAAAATAAGCGTATAGGTGTGCTCATTGTTCAAGAGTTTTCTCGTGCATAAAGTGAATTGTAGCATGAGGAAGAAAACCCATAGTCCCCAGCTGTGCTATACAGACAGTTTTGGAGGATATCCACGATGGAGCAAAAATATGGAAGTGGATGGGGAGAATGAAACGTAAATACCACACCCGGAAGCAACTCACTGTCACTATCCGCGCACCAGGATAGGGCTGTTTCCATAATTAAATCTATGGCAAACTTCATTAAAAGGAGAGGGTGACCCTGACAAACACCACTTTCCGTGGTGAAATCGGGCGAAAAAATGCCGTAAACTTGAACTCAACTTCGGCTATTAGTATAAACGGATTGTAAAATTGAAATTATCCTCTCGGACATACCCTTCAGAGAATGGCGGCGAAGAGTTTAGAGCGGTCGACTGAGTAGAAGACTGCATTCAGACCGAGAAAGACATAGGTGATGGGTCTACGAAAGGAATACCTGCGTTCTCAAACCTCGACTAGGTTTACAACAGCCTGATTATCACGCGTACAATCTGCATGTGCAGCATATCGTCAACGGAGTATGATCCAAGCGAAAAGTTTAGAGACAATTTTGATTAAAATAATTTCTCTGTGGTTTTCACAAGAAGATTTGTCACTGATTCACACCATTCAGTTAAAACCTGTTTTATCAACTCTAAGACTAACGCTGAGCCTATATCCTTAAAAGCAGATGAGAACAGCCCATCTGTTCCGGAGCCCATTATGCCTTGGTAAGAATGACTAGCATCTTGTACACGCGATGGATTGGCAAAAGTCACGGGAATAGGACCTGATGAGGAAAGTTTGTATTCGCTTCCGTGGATAACTCAGTCCTAAATACAAAAAATAATGTAGTGCGTGACATAATTAAGTCAAACATATGAACAGAAAACATCCTGAGAAATCTCAATTGGTCTATCATACACTTCCAAGCTTTTAGCTCAATTGTTCCATCTTCAGAAGACCTCTACCACCTGACTGAAAGCTATCAGCTATATGGGTCCCACATCTATAGGACTCTTAGCACCCTTCTTATCCTTAAGTTTAGTGCAATCGTTGTAGGATACGTTTCGGGAAGCTGTTTTCAAAAGACCTCGGCTGAGGAGGCCCTGTTCGCTATCTTCCAGTGGTAAAAATGTTTCTACTAAAACGAAAAGCCAAAATTTCGGGCTGAAACCGGGTTGACGAAACACCCGAGGTTAACTAACCAATGGACGTGATAAAGCATTCATCTCCCTTCAGGTTGTGAGCATGCTGCTCCCCGGGTGCCCTGACCAAAGGAGAGGGATAACCTCGGGGTCCCCACCCCAAGCCTTTGGCTAGAAAGCCAGACCTGCAAGATAGCATAACTGAGCTCCGAGTCCGCAGTCCATTAGATCGTGCACCATTTGGACGGAGTCAGTCGTCCAAAATGACAAAAATCTTCTCTGTAAACAATCCAGCCAGTAATCACTGTCACAACCAGTTGGGTGTGGTTTGTACACCTCTTCTTGATTGGTTTGGAATCAGTGTGAACTGCCAGTGGTTCACCGACCCGGTGTTGGCTTTCTTCGTCTTACTTTAGTGTGAAAACACGGCCACGGAATGGCAGTGAGTAGGGTTTTCTCAGCAGAGGCTACTTTAGACATCTGGTCATATAAGGGGATTAGACGATGAAGTACACCCGGTACCCTGAACATGCCAGCCCCATTCACAGATCGTCATGAGACCAACAGGAAACGCATTCCCGCCTTCAATAAGTTGCGAATCTCATTGCCTAATGAGTTGGAGTATTCCGTATGAGGCAAGATGATATCCCCTCACGAAGTACAATAGGATATAACAGTGACAACCCCGTGAAACTAAATACCAGCAGCAAACCGTCAGTCACTTTTGTTTGTTCCGGTTTTTAATACGTACAGTATTGCTACCTTGACTGTTCTCGGATAACAGATAAATGAAAGATTTGTCAACACAAATTCACGGATATAGCGGAGACTTTGGGATTCACAACGAACCATCAGCAAATCCCAGGGCTGATCTGCGCTAAATTCCGTCGTTTTTACAGTGTTTTCAGAAAACTGGAAAAAACTGGAATTGTTTCCTATAACTTCAAAACAAATAGGGTGAGCAGAGAGATCACCTAACGGAAACAAATAATTAGATAAGCTTGTGTGTTATGAGCAGTCGGAAACAATACCATTTAAGAAAAACTGATTCACTCAAAATTGCCACCGAACCAACAACAAGAACCGGACGGTAGTGACGTACCTTAACGGAACGGGTAATCTTTTCAACATCTGCAGCCGAACCTGCACCAAACAGATTGTGCTGAATATATTCAATATAACGGGAGAGACGATCGTTTAATCCCTGCAGTTCTTCTTTTTCTTCCAGACGGGAAGCTGACAACGGACTACGCAATCGTTTGCGTTTGTTATCGGAAAATTCTTCAGAACTGGCCGTAGAACACCGCCCCTCTGGAGCAGGTCGATCGAACATCATTTCCGGAATACGTGAAGGCTGAAAATTAATTTGAAGGGGTTGAAAGGGTCAGAAAACGTAGTGGAACGTAAACAAAATATTACGGCTGTCTTCTTTTATAACAGCAGACGGAGAAAGCCTCATAGTTACGAGGGCCTGCTGTTCAGAGATGTAAACCGGTAACCTAAGCTCTGGGACTTGGAGTAGTGAATCACCTAAGGCCCCTCTAGGTTAGGCGTGGTATGACAGCAGTTTCCTACTACCAAAGTTGGGTGGCGGTGGTGGGGCTCGAACCTCGGACCACAGGGTCCAAAGTACGCCGGTGATAGCTACTAAAACACTGCGCCACCACCACAATAAAACGCTCCCATGTGGTAAATACTATTACCATGAAAATTATATATATACAGGCGCACGGAACGACGGTAATCCCACTGTCTCATTCATTTCATTTACGTTTGACGAGTCCTAGTTTGGATCGAAACGTTACAATAAACATTTTACAACTCTGTGTACGCCTCCATTCTCTCTTTATATACATATACATATATATTTATATATTCATGGATATATAACATATTACCATAGAAAGTTGATGGTTTCGCCCCAATAAACAAGTTGAAAAATCTTAGCAGTTGTCATTTTTTATGTGTCACATCAGTTTCAGAGTGGCTTTTTATTGGTAATTAAATGTTCTGAACTTCCAAGACTCTTGTCCATTCACAAAAATAGGGGAAACACCTCCGTCGCCTCGTTCTATACCACGTGCATTCCGCTGGGACCTTGGCATCAGATGGAGCTGTCTGTCATCTGGGAGTATCCAGGATATCCTCGCAAGAGGAAACAGTTATTTTAATGAGCAAGTCTATTACAAAACTGAATAGAAAGGGAGAGGGGGAGAAATAGCAACCATGATGAATCCCGCTTTCCGCGTTGAATTGGGGCGAAAATTTTCCGTGAGCACGGACTCGGTTATGGCTTTCAGCATAAAGAGGTTTTAACACCCTCTAGGAAAAGGTAGCGACAGAGTTTGGAGCGATCGACCGAGTGGAATGGAGCTTTCAGATTGAAGTTAGGAGAAATGGTGCATCCACGAACGAAATACTTGTGGCCTAGAAGTTAGCGAGGAGTGAAAGTGTGGTCGACAGAGCTTGAACCGGATCTAAAACCAAATTGATTTTCACGTTGGCAACGTTCATGTACAAAAAACAATCGCTCAAGATGATGTACCGTCGGACTCCTCAATTGTCTCAAATCTACCTTTCTTGCGCCTGTACTCCCAACTAGGCGGGAATTCTCTCGACCTCTTGGGTTTAACCATAAACTATTCTCTCTTCATTCCCTTTTATTTTTAGACTCACCTTTCACGGTGCGTGCTAATTCGGTTTTCTATTCCATGCTAAGCGCTTCTTTGGGGTGGAGTTCCGTGTTCCGCTCGTTCTCTTCTCGATCTTGTTCCACGTAAAGCCATTCGGCTTATGGACTAATCGTCTTCAACTTCCAACCTGCGGTCGCTTCCGAAATCCTCAGTATAGTCGGGGGTGGGTGTCTAGGGTTGCGGTTGGTTACCCTTCCGATGAACCGGACAGCAGCCCCCAATGCATTGCGGTTTTCACACACCGCACTACTACCTTGCGGATCAGGCTTTCATCAGCAACATCATCATCGTACAGCGTAATACAGGGAAGCGAACTTCACTGATCGCTGTCAAACTCGCAATGCATATGCACTGGGGTTTGATGGATAGGTATTGCTAGGATGTCCAGCCATTAAGCATAAGAAAGATTAGGGTTCTCTACCAAAGCCTTTAATTCTGACAGGAACCTAACCGTAAGGCAGCGGGTGAAGAGAAGCGGAGACCCATTAACTTGGATCAATTACTTCTCCACCATCCTTCTACGAAGATAGCGGTATCGATTTGCTCTCAGGTGGCAAAATGATCTGAAGTATGCAGACGATATTGTGCAGATAAGTAAGTTGCAAGCTTTACCGGATAGTTTGAGTGCCAGCGTGAAACCGCGAAACCGGTCGTGTGCCTCCAGGGAAATATTGTCCAGTCATTCACATACTAGTTATTGTGGTAGCCGAGCGATCTAAGGCGCCGGTTTAAGCGTGGCCATTTTCGGTATGCGTTTTGTACCTTCGAAGTGTAAAGTGTTGCTACAAAACTGGATCGGTCCAGCACCCAGCCTCACTCCAACTTGGGAAGTATTTGAGGAAGTGGATATGTTTCGTTATTTGGGCATCCATATCTCACTTGGCGGACAAGCATCAAAGATGAAGTGTCGGCAGATCACAGTAGAGCCATCTGGAAAAGAATAAAAAACCTAAAGGGACTCCAAGAGGAGTTCGCGCTTCTTAAATTTGGGAAAGGTTGCAATAAGCCTATATGGTGATCTACAATACAGAGGGCACTAAGGAAAAGAAACAGAAGCTGGAGATACTATAGAGTGGTTAATACCCAGCTGGCATGGACGAAGTATACAGTCCACAGGAACGGGACAGTCAGTCTTACAAGGGTAGAAAAGAGGAAACATGAACTAAAGCTAGCCGAAAATGTCAAGCAACAATCGAAAAGGTTTTCCATAGATGTCCAATCGAAACGCAACCTGACGAATGTCACAGGCGCATTGGTGCTGGGACATAACAGACGACCAAAGGAAAGCAATAGCACTAGGCAACAATTTTACCAGCGTTCACAGGTTGGACAACCGGACATTAGAACCTCGAGAACTGACCTCTCTTCCATGGACCATAACAGAGCTGCGAACATCTGCAGAAGGTATTAAAGGAGTTGGACATAAATAAGGCACCGGGTCCCGAAGGTATATACCCCGCCATTGTGAAACCACTTGCCTAAATCTTAGCAGACTCCTTAAGGGTGCTGTTTCAAAGCTCTCTAGAGGAGGGTGTGCTCCCGGTCGACTGGAAAACTGCCATTGTAATGGTTTTAGACAAAGGTGGTAGTAGAACTAACCTTCAACACTACAGACTACATAGCCTAATTAGTATGCTACGTAAGTGTATGGAAAAGCAAATCAGGGCTCATGTCTATAACAACCTCTTAGTGTGCATTACTTAGCAACGCTCAGTATATATATATATATATATA